GGTAGTTCGGCGAGAGGCGGCGGCTCTATAACCCCAAAGGCAGCTCTCGCCCGGCATCATCGCGCGCACAGTTAATCTGTTATCAATGTCTCCAATCTTCTTGTCTCTTTGTTTATCTTCTTCAATTTTTTGGAGTCTCTCATCATACTTCATCATCATTTGTTGCATGTTCTCCACTTTTTCAACGGTTTTCCCTGTTCTTTGTTCAATGTTTTCTGTTCTTTGTTCAATGTTCTCTATTCTCTTTTCAATATTCTCTGATCTTGGTTGAATATTTTGAATTCCTTGCATAATCATCTGCAAGGTCACTTTTTCTTGTTCTTTTTCTTATCTTAATATTGTCTGTATTGAACATTGTCCTATATATATATAGGACAGGAAGAGGAAGAAGTGGAAGTTGAAGAACCAGGAGCTGTTAATTTCCTACTCATTTTGAGGAGTTCAAAATCTTCAGGTTCTTCTAGACTTTAATCCAGTTGTAAAATAACCAATTGCAGTTCCAAATAAAAATAGTAGGAAAAAAAGTAGGAAAATAGTAAGAAAAGAGAAGCCAAATAGTAATAATAATAGAAAAAGAAGAAAAAATTTCTTCAGGTTTTTGTATACCTTAATCCAATCGGTTGGTTAGATCAGGGGTCCCCAACCACCGGTCCGCGGACCGGTACCGGTCCATGGAACAAGTCCTACCGGGCCACTGGTTTGCTGGGCGCCGCCATCTTTTTTTGATAAAAAAGTGCTTCCGGTGAGCTTTTCCGGGTAGAAAGCTCACCGGAAGCACTTTTTCATCAAAAAAAGATGGCGGCGCCCAGCTGATGCCGGTACCGGGCCGCGCCATAAAAAAGGTTGGGGATACCGGGCTGCGGCATAAGAAAGGTTGGGGATCGCTGGGTTAGATGACAGTAAAAATTCAAAAATGAAGGAAAAGACCATAAACACACCATGAACACACACACACACACACACACACACAAAGTTGTAAAATCATAGAAAAGGCAAAAAAGTGAAGAAAAAGGCTAAAAAAGAAAGGAAAAATTCTTCAGGTTCTTCAACACCTTAATCAAATTAAGAGGTCTCAAATATAAAAGTATGCATAAAAATAAACCAAAAAGGAAAAAGGAAAGGAAAAAAAAACCAATATGGAAGGTCGATCTCTTTCCGTTCTCTTTCGTTTCGGAGCTGTCCCAACTTCAGCAGCTTTAAAGGCTGCCTCTTCGCTGCTGGCAAAAAGAGCTTCTCCTGGATCTACCAGGGACTTTGCAATATCCCTGGGATTGACAGGATGCGCTCTTTACATTCACCGTCTCTTTGGGACGGTTTAGATCCACTTGAACCGTCCAGGAGCAAAGATATCGGCTGTGATCTCAGATCTCCAAGATTGTATGCCGTATCGTCGCGACACCAGCTCCGCCGTCATCTTGAGGAATATTTCTATGGAATATTTATTACAGACATTTTAATACAAGAGTTCTGTCACAGTAGCTCATCATTTAAAAATTAATAGTAATTAAATTAATTGTAATAACAACCAAAACAGTAACTATAGCCACAAATCTTTATAATAATCCTTGAGAGCTGAGAAACAGTATAAAACATAGTGAAGCATTAGCCTAAAATTAGTCAGATAATATTCAAAAGTAGATCAAGAACAATAATTAAGCCAAAAATAAGTCTTTAGAGAAACATCTTTAGGCATTAATGATAGTAACAACAGCAACAACAATGCTAAGTACATTTCTCGAGGGAGAACTCTGTACATGAAAAGCTTCTCCTTGTGTAATGCATATATAAGCTCTACAGGCAAATTTCCAAACAGTTCCTGAAGGTACAAGTATTCCATCAAGTAACTTCAGTGCCAAATTGCTACAGAAGTTAAAACCAGTTGAAAATATGTAGAAAACAAGAGGCAGCTAGAGCACTCACATAACTTTGGCATGACATCTTCCAAAAACCTTGCTTACAACATAAAGTTTCTCACCCAATGACTAGTAACTATCCGAATGAACTGAATAGTTAAAAACCTTGCTTTTGGTTTAATACCCAATTAAGTGTCCATAAGTTTAGAGTTTCTCTGTAAAAATGGAAGTGAGGTAGGATCACAATTTCATTTACATATATCTATATATTTATATCTACACACACTCTCTCTTTCCCTGTGTGCCCATCCTCCACTCTACCCATGCATTTTTTCCCCCTTACTTTGGAAGGAAAAATACTGACCAACAGCCAATATTTCCTTTCTGTTGCTATTTGGCTAGGGAAAGAGAAAACAAATCCTGTCTTCCAAAGCAATGCTGTGTGTATTGTGTGCATGGAACAGCCACACTGAAGTAAAAACTGAAGAGTTTGTTATGGAATTTCCACAAGGGTTGTAGGCTCCCCTGGATCTGTATATTCCCACAATATCAGCAAAGTTGGAATGTGGCTGACCTGATTTACAGCATTTTTGACTCAGTTTTGTATAGTTGAAACCACCATGAAACTGGGTTGGGTTGTTTCTTTGAGGTAGAGTGGCTTCCTTTGAAAGGAACTTTTTAAATGAAGGAATTCTTTCTCACCCTTCTTCCCAGCTCCCAAGTTTTGGGTCCTTAAAGGAAAATGGTAGCTTGAGAGCTTGAAACTCCCTTTCAGTAGCTCAGGCAAAATAAGCAGATAATTGTTTTGTCAAATTCCCCTTGTTTTTCTTAATTATTGCCTGCCTGCTCTTTCCACTGAAGTCTGATCACCTTCAAAATGTTTCTGAGGTTTAGAGAAATTAAAATAGTAATAATGTTGAAGTGACCTTAGCACAGAATGTAAGGTATGCATCCAGTGTATCCTGGGGGAGCAATTGCTAGTTAATGTACTGTATGCAATGCTGAACTGGATGGACCAAATATTTTACTTGTAAAGTTTATTACGTGTTAGAGGTAGTTAGAAGAGGCAGTCATTTAGATTACTAAGGAAGACCAATTCATAGATGTAAAATAAAAACAGAAGCTAATGAACTTTATTAAAATCTAAATTTTAATCTGTCTTTCTCTCTATCCTCACTGGTGGAAAGTCTTGAAATTCTTCATTGTGGCTCATTCAAGAGCATCCTATATACCTGTTCTAACTGCTTCAGTTCTGCCAATTCATTTATGAAAGGAGCATGAACAAATAGCATTAGCACATTCTAGTTGAAGTAAAGAAACCAAATCATTGCCAGGATTTCAGATTCCAAAGCTGGGCTCTGCTTATGGTAAAGAAGAGATCCTACTTCCACCAGGGAAGCCCTAAGACAGTGGAATATATACATGGTTGAGGTGACCTAGTGGAATCTTTCATGAATGCCTGACTTATATGGAGTCCTGAACACCTGGTAATGAACAGCAGTATTGTGCATAAGAACAAAACTGAGTCATGTGCACCACATTCCATTCTAATGAGTAATACTGTTAGGCTACTGTGATAATGAGACTTAAGGGCCTTAGTATTATGCCTTTCTTTCTCTGCAACCCACTCTTCGAGCTGGGGTAGTATTGTAGCTAGTCAGAGAAGAGCTGGCCCCAAGTCTCCCAGCTGTAATGGACACAGCCAAAATCTATTAATGCACAGCTGCTTGTAATCAACTTGGAGCAATGCCTAGCCATGTTTCTGTTTGCAACTTGTTGTTTCTTCCACTGCAGTTGCATAGGAACGTTGTAAGATGATGAGCTGGAAGTCTAATTGGTTTGTTTTCTCCACTCTATTCCATGCAGCCTGGTAAGAGAATCCATAAGGCTGCTTTCTTTTGCATAGCACTTTGTCCCCTTGTTACCGGGTGTGGTATGCAGTTATACTGTATAATTGCAATAATGGCACTGAATCATTGTGGATCTGAAAAAAAGCTGTTGGTTCCACTTTTATATATTGGATCTCCTAACTGTATTTTTTCTTTTGTCACACAGATGATTATTTTCACATTGTCCTTGCTATCTTCTCTAATGCAGCATCTATGCACCTTTCTGACCTGGATGATCCCACTGTTCCCACCTGTACCTGCAGAGCAGATTTGGTTGTTCAGGAAGTTGCAGGAAGAGATGTAATTGACATAACAGCTATATCAGTTCTTCTGTTGACTGAATATAGTTGGGTATAATCTTATAGGTTCAAATGCTTTGCTACCAACACAGATTGCTTCTGGTGCAACTGGCTTCACATCCTACTTCTTCCATCACTTTCTGCTTCTTCCTTTCTCAAATCTGCCATCTATATTTCAATGTTTGTATATTTCAATGACCACAGCAGAAATCTCTGTTGGACAATATATGACAAATTATGTCTTGAGAATGCAGCAATATGCAGTGAGGACCTTGAGTCCTAATCCTAAAATGTTAGGTGGATAGAAGCAAAGTGACAATCTTGAGCTTCACTTGCTTTAAATTGTGAATCTGCAAGATGGTGCTTGTAGTGTTGTTTTAGGAATGCTTGAACAATGGTTTTGGTTGATTTGGAAAGATGTGAGCCAGTTTCATTGTATCTAATTTAACAAACAGTTTAGATTAATGTTGCCAGCAAAATATTTATATTATTGTCCTTATTGGTCTTTGACTTCTGCAGAATGGTTTTATAGGGGCAGCATTTGGTTGCTAAAACTCATCCAGTTGGTGGATTTTACCAACATTGTTGATGCATAAGGATAGTATGAACGTAGACAGTATATGAATTTGCCTTTCAGGCAGGGCATGAAGTATGTTTCTTTCCCAACCAACTTAAGCAATAATATTGTTGAATTGCTACAATACAGGTTCCACAACATTCCATTATCTTCCCTGTTCCCTTGGAATGTTTCTTTTATGAAAGGCCTGAATAGATTTCCCAAGCTGCAGATGGTAAGATAATGGGGTGTTTGAAATCTAAAAGGTATTGAGTATTCAAACTGCTATATTCTGTTCCCAGGAAATTTTAAGGGTACATTTGAATTTCATTCTATAACCTTTCTGTAAATTCTTTCGAAGATCCTCTGAAAAATCTTGCTTTTTCTGTCATTCTTTTCACAGAAACCTAGGAAGGTCATTGCTCAAGTTGGAGAAGATTCTCAAAATGGTCATCTTCCACCTGGCTGGCAAAGTTATATGTCTCCTCAGGGGCGAAGATATTATGTGAACACCTTCACCAATGGTAAGTTTCATTTACATTCTAATTTTATTCTTTTAGAAAACCCTCCTTTCCTCTAACATCAAAGGTAGAGATAACATAACTTAACAATATGAAGAGTAGCCAAACACCTTCTTGTACAATCCATAAAATAACTGTGCTCCTTGGGCTGGTCATTGTAAACAACCTGATTATCTGCCTTTCTCTAGATTTCCAACCTCTTCTCATATTATTCCCAGAATAAAATCATTTATCTCAACTCTCTTTTTTTGCCAAAGAAAGTGATATCCTCTGTTCTCCAACCAGACATTCTCTGTACAATTTTGGGACAGAATGTTTTGAAAATGTTCTATTTTCCATCTTCATTTGTGCTAAACGTCTCTTGGACCATGCCATGCTAACAGTCAGTTTACTAGTTTCCAGAAGTAAACCAGAAATTGTTTGAGCTGCCCTTGTGTACCTGACTAGGAAACAAGCCTGCTTTTTGGCAAAACTCTAGGTCTGGGACATTCTGAACCTCTTCTGATTCAGAGGATTTACTTCTGGAAATTTTTAAAAACTGCCCGCAGGAGTAGTACATACCAGAAGAGATTCAGTACACTCTGCAGTTCTACAAAATATTCCATTCTCAAACTGGTGAATTTTGTATGTCTTACTTTGTTTCCTCCCAAAACTAAAGGGGATTAGTAATTGAATGTAGACAATAAGAATGAATGAGCAAAGCAACCAGACGGAAAGCCATTTTGAACAGAGCTGACCTCATTGGAGCATCCTACCCCAAATGGGCTCACATTTTGAATTTATCCCCCGTTTTTAAATTTCTCATTCATCCTTGAAAGCCCAAATATCTTAATTGCACAGCAAATGATAATTGAATTTATGCACTCATAGCTGTTAACATTTTTAACAAGTTAATTCAACAAGAAAATGAATCATATTTGGATGAGTTACTGACTTAACCTAGTCTTTAACCTACTTCCACAATTAGCACCAGAATTTCTGCTGCTAAATAAGGTGGTTGTTAAGGAAATCACCCCATTTTACAACCATTCTTGCAAATCGCTGCAGTTATTAAGTGACTCATGTGGTTGTTAAGTGAATCCTGCTTCCCTTGTTAACTTTACTTGTCGGATGCTTGCTGGGAAGGTCTAAAATGGTAATCACATAACCCCAGAATGTTGCAACTGTCATAAATGTATGCCAGTTACGAAGTGTCTGAATTTTGATCACATGACTGAGAGGATGCTACGACGTTAAGTTCTTAATCACTTTTATCAGTCCAGCTCTAACTTTGAGCAATCACTAAATAAATGGGTATGATGACTACCTGCATTCTGCATCATAGCAGGTGGTGACATCTAGCCAACTTTGGTTGAAAAGCTAAGCAGGACCAATTCCCTTTAGAACTTAAATGCAACGCTGTGAAGAGGTCCAAGACTGAGATATCCAAAAAAAAAAAAAAAAAACGGATTCCAAAAGAAGGCACTGGCAAACAACTTCCATGTAGTTTCTAAGAAAACTAACTGGCCATCTCCATACAGCCATGGGGAGTCAAACACAATTCAAGGAAGACTTTATTTGTTTTGTATCTTGCATTTGGATGTCTAAGGATTGAATGTTAACATTTTCTGGGTTGCTATGCATGTAAATATGCAAGTAGTTATGAAATTATGAAAAAAATCAGCATAAATCAAGCTTAGCTAAACCTGCTGCACCTAAAACAGCCATAATTATGTGACATTTTACCGGTTTCCTGTTTAGAGTCAGACCTGGAAATATTTAATGCTTACATTTTATGTATTTTCTTTTCAGTTCTCAAGTGACCAAATAATTTGGATGTTCTTAAACAAAAAATATAAATCATTTTTGAGAGGATAACTCCTGGGGAGAGCAAACTTATAGTTCAGAAGTTCTAAGCAAATGAAAAAGAGCTTGAAATAATTGGTTTAAAAAGAATTTAGGAATGTTTTCGTAGAGTTTTACACCATAATGGACAGAGCTTAAAAACTTTGTAATCCTTTAATTCCTTTCTTTCCTTTCCCTTTGGGCTCACAGTTCATCTATAATCATCTCTCTTAGCTTTTTGCAGACACAGAAGCAGTTTTTGTTTTTCCCTGGAAAGTTAAAAGATTTCACCACTTCCCCATTAGAAAAAATGGAGAAACAGAAATTCTGTTCACTGCGAGGCATGTAAATTAATGAAGGGATTAGCACATCAAAGTGATGGAAGAAGTCGCAGGAAGGATCATGCAAAACGTTTCAGCACAATTTTTATACATGAGGGAGTACATATGAAACGGTACTTGTGAATCGTTAAAGCATATGCTTCTTTTCCTAGATTTCAGCATAGCAAAGTGGTGTGCATGCTTAGGGGGAGACTTGTTTCCAAAACAGCAACATGGATTTGGAAAAATATATGGTTGCTATATATAGAGTAGTAAAAAAGAGCTTTGCACTGTATGTACAGTATACAAGTAGTCATTCATTCAGCAACCATTTGAAATTATGATGACACTGAATGAAGGGCTTTATGAACTGGACCAAAGTTAAGACTGTTGCATTGCCCCCATGGTCATGTTATCACATTTTGGGTGCTTGGCAATCCATCTTCCCTTATGATTGACCACAGGGACACTGCCTCCACCTGCCTATCATTTCCCCATCCCACATCACTGAATCCTTTGAGCTTACCTCTCACCTGGCTCACCTTATAGTCCTTGCACCTGCTTCCGATTTTGCTGGGTCTGCCCTATCATGCCTTCCCTGTGATAAATACAACATTAATGACAGTACATGGATTTTATATTTTTCAACATCAGAAATAACTCACAATTTCACAGATTTATAGCTCTCCTGAAAAACCATGTGATCATACTGGGTCTTCCAGTCCAAGTAACACTGCAGAAAAGGAACAACCTCTGCATGTCTCTTCACACTGCTATTAATGTGTGGGACAGTTTTGCTGTTAAATACAATGGCAAAGACAGCCAGCTTGGTGTAGCATTTAAGACATCAGACTAGAAACTATGAGTGCATGAGTTCTAGCCCCACCCCCCTTTTAGCTACAAAACCATCTGGGTGACTTCATTCAGTCACTTTGTCTCAGCCCAACAAAGAAGGCAATGTCAAAACATTTCTAAAAAACCTTGCCAACAAAACTGCAGGGACTTGCCCAGGCAGTGTCTGAGAATTGGACACAATTGAACAGAAGAAAAAAAAAAGTGGGAGATATCTATTCTACAAAATAGACCATGTAACATCTATGAGTCTGGTCCTTATCCAATTTCACATTATACACATGTCATAATGCAACATATTCATTTTTATTTTCCTTCTGTCATTGAAAATTGGTGTGAATTGAACTAATTTTTCTATTTCAACTTGTAATATTACTATTACTACTTCTATTCCCCCCCCCTCTTCTTTTTTTCAAAGCATCTAGAAAAGGCTAAGCAGGTCAGAGCTGAATAAGAGCCCACTAGAAAAACCCAGGACTACAGGCTAGAAAGAAAAAAAAATGAAATAAAACCATGGGAAATCACTTCCATATTATTGCAAATAAAAGTACATCCATGCTGTCAGGAAGTGAAAAAAAAATTAAAGAGGAAAAACAGGAAACATAATCAAAAAATGGGAGTTATATTTTCAATTTAATGTCATCCATAACAAAGAAATTTCTCAAGCATGGCTTGAGTTTCAACCATAGAAAATACAGTGCACAAATCAGGAGGATGTACAGTTTGAGGGTAAATTATCATTAGACATTAAAGACTACAAGTTAGAATCAAACCAGGTACTGAAGTTTCCACTTAAAAGGGGAGCAGTTTCAACAGTTGACCTGAAATAAATAAAGTGTGGCATTGGAATGTTTTGCAATTATAGTTGTATTGTTGAAATATAATCTATCCCATAGAATAAAGGATATTTGGTAATTACAAGTTCCTTTTGCATCAGTGCAGTCAAAATTTTAACACATCCTTCTTTGGGTTTTCCCTCTTTATGAAGTATATATTTTTATTGTGTACTTTAATCAGATTCCATTCTGCAAAATTAAGTGTCATACATAAGCAAGATGTTTTTTTTTAACATGAGACAAATCCCTAATCCTCATTTTATATCCAAATTCTGCTTTGTGGACTATCTTTAGCTGTATCTAGGAAAGTCTCTGAGATTTCATTTCGGGCTTGCAACAACCGGATTAATCTTGTCTCAAATTATAGGGAAGCCTGTTATAAATTATTGCTATATAAATATTTAGATGTTCCTTTTCATAAAATGGAATCATATGAATTTTTACCTTTTATACACCTAACACTTCCTATTCTAAGCAAATATAAACTTCACATCAAAAGTAAAGGAAAAACACTTTCATTACTGATTAGGTTTTACTTCCTTCTGTAGGGTCCAAATGTGATACTAAATAAAATAAAATAAATATGCTTTTCAGTGAGGGTACTTGATGTCGAAAATTAGGTATCTCTTAGTATAACCCATTCTAAACATTAAGCTTGTACAATCATTATTATACAATTCTGGTTTTCTGTCTCAGAGATGGAAGCATCATTTGTGCATGGAGAGATGGGATATAACCTTCCTAAAATACCTTTCTAGTCATCCAAATCAGTGAAATGTTAAAACGAAATATAGCAAGGCTGGCATTAATAAGAAATATACTTGCCCTGAGCAGTACCTTCACTGGGGATAAAAGTGAAGGGCAAAGATTATACTGTTATCTTGGCAATAAATTCAAAGTATCATTACATTATTTCATGTGGAATAATAATGGGATGTAGGGATATGAAAAAGAGTTGTTGTGGACCAAAAGAATATTGATGTGAGATAGCTTTTCATTTGTCCACCTAAACAAAGACAATCGCTCAGCTTTTGTCTGAGGAGGAGAAAATCTGGGCCACATGATTCCATACATCAGATAGTGGCAGCCAACATAAGACCTTCCTGGGTTTATATCAGAGGTGGTATTCAGCATGTTCTGACCAGTCCTGGAGAACCGGTAGCGGAAATTT